GTTCTCAATGTATTATGCATTATTCTTTTTGTTTAGGGTTTAGGGTTTAGGGTTTGCTGTCTGCGGGTAGGGTGTATGGTTTAGGGTTTAGGGTTTAGGGTTTAGGGTTTAGGGTTTAGGGTTTAGGGTTTAGGGTTTGTGGTTTGTGTGTTTAGCCTTGAGGAGAAGACCCGTCAGGGTGCAGAGCGGTTTATTCATAAATTATTTTCTTTAGAAAGACATTCATCAACTGATGGGGTGTATGTGCAGCTCCCGCCAGCCCCAAAGATAGACACCTTAAGATTCCCCCGTACTCTAAAGGTAAACCCTAAACCCTAAACCCTAAACCCTAGTAGGTCTTTGTGTGTAGGCCTCTGCAGCAGCAGTAGTTGTGCGTCTGTTGTAGGGTTTAGGGTTTTAGGGTAGCCTTTACTTCCTTCGTTATTCACAGTCTAGGGTTTAGGGTTAATGAGAGTTTATTATTAGGGTTTTATTATTGTGTATTAGGGTTTTCTAAGGAGTTTATCAGGGTTTTTAAAGCGTATATTAATTAATTAATTAATTAATTAATTAATTAATTAATTAATTAAGATGTATTAAGATATATTAGGGTATATATTAAGGTATATGAGGGTTTATCAGAATCTCACATCATTATGGTTTATGGTTTAGGGTTTAGGGTTTAGGGTTTAGGGTTTAGGGTTTAGGGTGTATATGGATGCAGTTGCCTACCTCCCGCGCATTAACGCGTTGGGAGTCCTTTGCCCTAGCAAAAGGCATAAAGAAAAGAAAAAGAAGTGCTTTGATGTGGAGCGAAGATAAACAAGACTGGGTTCGCCGCTGGGGTTATAAAAGTATAAAGCATGTGCAGCAGCAATCTCAAGCAGTGCTAGAAGAGAAAGGGGCTGTGCTGCTCCGCAGCAGAAACATTAGCACGAAGCATGCTGCTGCTGCTGCTGCTGCTGGTGGGGGTGGGGGCCGTGGGGCTGCTGCTGCAGCGAAAAAGAGGCGGATTGCAGCGGCAGATCCTGCAGCAGCAGCAGCAGCTGCTGCTGCTGCTGCTGAGGGCCCAGGAGACTTATTTATGAAAGCAAAGCAGCAGCAGCAGCTGCAGAAAGCAAAACAAAAACTCAGGGAGGTTAGAAATGCAGCAGAAGCACAAGGAGGTAAAGCAGCAGCACGGGGTGTACTGACAGCTGCAGCAGCAAAAGGGCAGCGAGGTGCTGCTGCTGCTGCTGCTGCTGCTAGTCTCCCTCCAGGTGTACCTGTCCTCTCTAATAATAAACACCGCAGCAAAAGCAAGCATGAATTACAAGAAATACTCTACAGGTATAAGCCCTAAACCCTAAACCCTAAACCCTTTATATAACTGTTTAAACCCTAATCCCTCTGTTTGTTTGTAACAGCGTCTAAACCCTAAACCCTAAACCCTTTAAACTGCTGTACATATCTGTCTCTTTAAATTTGAGTGTATAGACAGCAGCAAACAGAGTAAACTGTCTCTGTCTCTCTATTACTCTGTCTCTTTTTTATTTATTATTTCGTCGCTCTTCTCTTTATTATATTTTATTTGTCTTAATTTTTATGTCTCCTTTTAGTATTCGTATTGTCTCCTCTTGTCTATTATTATTATTATTGTCTCTTCTTTATTATTATTATGTTACTGTCTCTTCTTCTTCATAATTCTTATTGTCTCAGCAGCAGCAGCAACAACACCGTATATTGCATGCAGCAGCAGCAGCAGCAGCTGCTGCTGCTGCTGCATCCTGTTCTTGCTGCTGCATTCTGCTGCTGCTACTGCTGCTGTCTCATCTGTCTCCTTAGGGCTCAAGTGGCAACAGCATCCGCAGGGCAGCACGATAAGTTCAGCAGCAAAGGGGGCCCCCAGGGGGGCCCCCCGCAGCAGCGGAAGAAGCAGAAGCCGCAGCAGCACAACAGTGCTGCAGCAGAAGCAGCAGCATATAAAGAGCAGCTACGCCTTCTTCTCTCCACAAGAGCTGCCAATAAAGAGCATGCAAATGAATAAACCTGCTGCTTTTGCTGCTCTTGCTGCTGCTGCAAAAGCAGCAGCAGCAGCAGCAGCAGCAGCAGCATAGGAACGTTGTTCATTTGTTTTTGTTTATTGTATTATTATGAAGACATATCTCAAGACGCATGCAACCCGCAAACAGCAAAAAGAAGCAGACTACTAGCGATGTTATTCTGGTGCTGCTGCTACCTTTGCTGCTGATACTTTTGCTGCTGCTGTTGCTACGTTTGCTGCTGCTGCTGTTGCTACGTTTGCTGCTGATGCTGCAGCGGCTAAGTTTGTTGCTGCTGCTGCTATCTCGTGATATAAAGCCCCAAAAGAAACTCTTCTTATCCTCTGCATGCAATTAACTTCTATATAACACAATCTAAGTTCCTGCGAATCCCCTCACCCCCGGGGGGCCCCCGATCCTTTGGGGGGCCCCCCTCCACCCCCTTCTTTGAGGGCCCCTTCTTCATCATATCCACAGGGGGGCCCCCTTCTGGGGCCCCCTGTGCAACGCTGAGGGCCCCCGTATGAGGGCCCTCAGCGTTCCTTTCAAAGGAATCCTCGGGGGAGGGGCCCTGAGGGGGGCCCTGCGGATGCCCCTGAGGGGGCCCCTCGGGGGGCCCCTGGGGATGGCACTGAGGGGGCCCATGGGGGGCCCCCTGGGGATAGCCCTTGAGGGGCCCCTGAAGGGGCCCCTGAGGAGACCCCTGGGTATGCCCCTGGGGGGTACCCTGGGGGGGGCCCTGAGAGGGCCCCTGAGGGGGCCCCTGGGGATGGCCTTGAAGTGATCCCTGGGGGGGCCCCTGAGGGGACCCCTGAGGATGCCCCTGCGGGGGCCCTTGAGGGGCCCCCTCCGGGGGCCCCTCGGGGGGCCCCTGAGGGGGCCCTGCTGTGGGGCCCCCTTCTGGGGATGCGGTTTCGTCTGTAGAAGTGGGTGCTGCTCGATTCCAGAAAGAGGCCTCTGTTTCTTTAATCTGCTGCTGCTGCTGTTGCTGCTGCTGCTGCTGGTGTATAGAGTTATCCCAGTATAGCCCTGCTCTTTGTTCTGCTATTTCGAGTGTCTCGGCAGCTGAAACTTCCGCTGCAGCAGCAGCAGCAGCAGCTGCTGCTGCTGCTGCTGCACGCCCATCCTCTCCAGGTGCAGGCAGCCCCAGCAGCAAATTGAGTGCGTCTTCTGTTCTATCTCTCAAGGGCTCACTTCTTGCTGCAGGAGAATGGCGAGGGGGCCCCTGTGGGGCCCCCAGAGGGGCCCCCAGGGGCCCCTTCAATACCTTGTCGTTTGTCATGATATCCAGAGCACTAAGCGACAACGACTGTCGTTTGCTGCTGCTGTTGCTGCTGCTGCTGCTTCTTCGGCTGCTCTTGCTGCTGCTGCGGAGCCAGTCTTTGCGTGCTTGTCTTGCTGCAACAGCAGCAGCAGCAGCAGCATAATCCGCGCACCTCACGGGAGAAGAGCTGTGGCTTCTTGGCCCTCCAGCAGCAGCAACAGCAGCAGCAGCAGCTGCTGCTGCTGCTGCTGAGCCTGGGGGCTCGCAAGAAGCAACGCGGCGTCCCCTTGAGGTGTCAGTACACCGCAGGCTACGGGGCAGCAGAAGTGTGGGAGCTGACTCTGCTGCTGCTGCTGTTGTTGCTGCTGCATCTGCTGCATCTGCTGCTTCTGCTGCTGCTGCTGCTGCTGCTGCTGCAGCTGTTGGTACTGCTGCAGTTGTTGCTGCGGTTGGTGCTGCTGCGGTTGCTTCCTTCGCATGCTGTGACGAGGCTGCCGCACTGAACGCCTCAGGGCCAGTGGGAGAAGCTGCTTCTGCTGCTGCTGCTGCTGCTGCTGCAGCTCCTGTTGCTGCTGCACCTCTTGCTGTTGCTGCTGCAGGTGCTGGTGCCGCTGCTGCTGCTGCTGCTGCTGCTGCTGCTGCTGCTCCTTCAGTGTCTTCCGCTGCTTCATCTGCACCGTCCGTGGATGGCGATGATGCTGCTGCCTCTTCTTGCTGCTGCTGCTGCTGCTGCTGCTGCTGCTGCTGTTGCTGGCTAGGGCACTGCTGCTCAGCAGCAAGCATTGGCTCGGCAGCAGCAACAACAGCAGCAGCTGCAGGAGCTGCAGCACACACAATAGCACAACGAACAAACTCGGGTGTATGCATACGAGGAGGATAATGCTGCTAGCTGCTTCTGTTGAGGGCCTTAAAGCGACGTACCTCCTTGAAATTGCTGCTGTGTCTCTTCGTTTTGCTGCTGCTGCTGCTGCTGCTGCAGCTCTTCATGTTCGTGAAGATCCTGCTGCTGCAGCTGCAAGTGATGTTTTTGCTGGTGCTGCCTGCTGCTGCTGCTGCTAGTACTTGTGCTGCTGTAGCAGGAGCTGTTGCTGCTGTTGCTGTTGTTGCTGCTGCTGCTGCTGCTGCAGGCTTGCAGGTCCTCCACATCGAACCCATCAGAGACGCACAGGTCTTCATCTTTATGAAAGCAGCAGCAGCGGAGTTGCTGCTGCACCTCTCTGTCTTTCTCTGTCAGCAGCATCCCTTTTGCAGCACAAACCAACTGCAGCAGCAGCAGCAACAGCAGCAACAGCAGCAGCAGCAGCAGCAGCAAGTAGTGAGCTCTCAACGGGCCACCCAGATATGTGCTGAACATATATTTGTATATCGAATGAAAAGACAAAAGGAGACAGCAAAGGAGACAGCAAAGGAGACAGCAAAGGAGACAAGAGAGAGACAAAAGGAAATACAAAAAGGAGACAGACAGAGACAGAAAAAGACAGAAAAGGAGACAGAAAGAGACAGCAAAAGAGACAGAAAGAGACAGAAAAAGAGACAGAAAAAGAGACAGAGAGAGAGTTATACAAAAGGAGACAGAAAAGGAGACAGAGAGCGAGAGAGAGAGAGACAGACACAAACAGAGAGAGAGAGAGAGACAGAGAGAGAGACAGAGAGAGAGACAGAGACAGAGACAGACAGAGAGACAGAAAACGAGACAGAGAGAGTTATACAAAAGGAGACAGAAAAGGAGACAGAGAGCGAGAGAGAGAGAGAGAGACACAAACAGAGAGAGAGAGAGAGACAGAGACAGAGACAGAGACA